CCCGAGTCACTCGAGGTGTGGATACATGTAAGACTGAAAATGGAGGGGAGAACTATTAATGTCAGACAAAAAACAGATTTACTTGTAATACTGATCTGAGAGCTGCTTCCAAGGCTGCACATGTGAATACACTGACACAGACCTTAATTGGCAAGTATGTCTTCTACTATATAAAATCAACAGGCCAAATCTGAAAAATGTTCCCACCTCACCCTGTCAGAATTGGCTAATTTAATAACCTTACTCTATTTAATGAAAGCATGCAAACTTTGGTCCTCACGTTTTATATTTTAAAAGCCCTAAAACACTCAAAATAAGACTGTTAGAGAATCTTTTTGACACAGTATAAAAGATGGTATCAAAATGGGGCTTTTCATATTCTTTAACTTGTTTTAAAGAGCCATGATGATATAACCTTTTATTGTTTTATTGTGGGAATGATCAGAAAACAGATAGCACATCCAGGTAACATTTATTACTCACTACTCATTAAAGTAATGAGGGCTCAAAACTGCTGGAAAAATAATATATATAAAAAAAGGTCCTGAATTTCAACCCATCCTTTGTACTTTAGGGCTCAGAGTCAGGTGGGAGGCACTGATTGATTTTTCATAGTGACCTTTACAGATGTCACACTGATAGATTAAAACTCATTCACACATTCAAAAGTTTAACTGCTAGACAGAAGGCCTCGTACCTCACTCAAAAGCCAGTTCTCAGTACCACCTTCAAAGCCCTCTGATCGCCTATTTTGATTGTTATCCTGAAGTTTTATGAAAATTAACTTTAACTTCAGTGGACCCAAAAATCATATGTATAGACTTGCCTGTCAAATCTGACAAAAATTGCTTAAGTTTGCTGATTTTTTTTTTCTTTGCTCCAAAATAAGATCTAAAGACGGTTTGTTGTTTTTGTTTTTTACCCCCCGGATGTAATTCTTCTACCATCACCCCTGTTTGTGTAGAGTTTTCCCTGCGATTTCAAGTCGGGATTCTTTAAGCCCCATCTCTCTTTATCTTTTTCTCATGTCTCCACAGGATACAAATCATGCATCTGCTAAAAGTTGCATGTTTTTGCACATGATATCAAAAGCTAGTTCTGCTGTTCATGCAGATACAGATTGAATTTAGGTGGAACATTGAGAAACCTTTCTCCTTCACCAGATGAATGTGACTCGTGTCAAATCCTGGACAAAGATGGCAGAAAAAAAGGACTTCAAGTGAAGTACAGATAAATGAGAGCAATCTTTGTTTGGAGAGGGACTTAAAAGAAAAATGAGTATTGGCACACACTTTTAGTCTAGTTAAGAGGAAGCAGCGGCAAGCTAAATATAAATATCAGACGGTACTTCCTAAAAAGGACAATAATTTATGCAGCAAAACCTACTTCTGCATCATTCATGGGGAGCTCGACAGCCTGCGTGCAATTCTGCGCGTAGCCACTAGAGGGTGGTGTGGGCCAGCCACTTGTTTTGACCTTGCTTTCTCAGGCCGGCAGCCGGATTTTTCCCTCTTTTGGTGATGGAGTATTTATGGTGGTAGTGAGAGTTCAAGAGTGGTTTTGCATGCTGGGTAACTTTGTTCTACTAATTTCACTACAGGAAACTGGTATTTGCATTTCGGACAGAATAATCGCAGATTCCTTGGTATATGTTTCAAAAATAACCTCGTTGTTCAGTGACGCGTTTAGTGATGGTATTAATATGTACAGTACATTTTGCGGCTAGTTTTTAAAACCTGAATGCAGCAGACTGGTACTGATAGTTTGTGTTTTAACACAGGAAGGCGGGACTAGCGAGAGCTATGAGACGTTGTGATGACGTGAATAAAATGAGTTTGTTTCGTAAATACTGCTTTGACAAATAACGCAATGCTGTTCTAAATTTAAAACTAAATTTAAATGTAACCGTAAATGCCAACTTTAAAAAGAAAGAAAGAAAGAAAGAAAGAAAGAAAGAAAGAAAGAAAGAAAGAAAGAAAGAAAAGCTATCACAAGCAAACTTTATCAAATGCCTTTAATTGATCTTAATTGAGGGCCGTTCATGTGGTTGTAGTTCTACTGCAGGTCTAAGCTCTGGCAAAACTGTCAGATGGATGGTCTCTGGGATAAATCCTTCATTCTGTGGTGGTCCATGGTTTACGGTTGGTTTATTGGTTTAGCCTCTGGCAGGTAAACATTTATGAGTAAGGAAGACGTGGCACTAAGCACTTATTTAACATCCTAAACATCTCTTTAGTGAGCCCGCCACACGGCACGGCGGGCAGGCGTGTAAACTGTGTTGGTGGCAAACATGGCTTTAATGTGTGCTGAGCATTGAGTTTCACAAAGGATGAAACTCAGAAGAAAGGCATTTCTTTTATCTTTGCTTAACGTATAATTAAAATACTCCTGTGCTCCGTCATTTGGACTTTGCAGTTTGAGATCAGGTTGAGGATAACATTATGCTTATTTAATAGAACTAAACAACATTTTATCTCTTGTTAGTATCACTGCAATTTTACAGCAGAGCGATTGACTAGATGTAACTTATCATGTTGCTAGATCTTGTTTTATGGAGTGTCTCAAATTGCTCAGAAATTTCAGCATATACATGCTTGTGGCCACTTTATTAGGTACACCTTACTAGTGTTGTGTTGGACTCCCTTTTGCATTCAGAGCTGCTTTCAGCACAGATTTTGGTCCATATTGACATCATAGCGTCGCACAGTTACTGCTGATTCATCAGTTGCACATGCATGACGCAAATCTCTCCTTTCACCAAATCCCAAAGATGCTGTATTGGATTGAGATCTGGCGACTGTGGAGGCCATTTGAGTGCAGTGAACTCATGTTTCAGAAACCATTTTCAGATGATTTGAGCTTTGTAACAATGTTCAGGTAGGCTGTAGTGTTTTAAATGATGCTCAGCTGGTACGAAGAGGCCCAAAGTTTGCCTAGAAAATATCCCAAACACCATTAGGCCACTATCATTCTCTTTAAACCCTAGAGATGATGGTTTGGGGAATCTGTGCAGTTTCTAAAATACTCAGAGCAGCATGTCTGATACCAACAACCACACCACATTCAAAGTAACTTAAATCACCTTTCCTCTCTATTTTTAATCTCCGCTTGAACTGCAGCTTTCTTCACCTACATGCATACACGGTGTCTTTGCTTGCTGTCATGTGATTGGCTGATTTAAATATGTGTGTTAATAAGTAACTGAAAAGACATACCTAACAACAGTTAAAGTTGTCCAGGAATCAAAACTAAAATGGGAAGAATCAGACAAAATTCTGGAAAAAAATCAGGTTTTCTCAAATTTATCTGTTGAGGTTCTCGGATGCTTTACTTAAGTAAACGCTGCAATGCCACAGTTAAAACTACTTAAACATGCAACATTTTATTTTTCACCGGCAAAATGATTACATCAAAGCTAAAAATGCTCAATGTTTATCCCAAAATCCCTGTCAGGTTTCTCTTAAATGAGAAAGATAATGTGTTTATGTTCAATTTCCTGCCAGCACTACATCTCAGTCAAAAACTGAGACAGTTCCGCGTGGTATCACCATTTCCTAGGAACCAAGGAGTTCCCAGGAAAGTTTTCAAGGCTTGATAAGTGACTGTTCAACAATGGGGATTCATTTGTCTCATTTTCTTCTTCATAATATGCGAAGTGATTTCAGTGGGTGACAGATCTGGACTCGAGGCACATCGGTTTAGCACCTGGACTCTCTCACTGTTACAGTGCTGGAAATGTTGGCATTGTATTTCTGAAATAAGCAAAGGCCTTCCCTGAAAACGTCATCACTTCTCTTTAGCCTAGAATATGCAGCATCCATGAAAGTAATTTCAAATTTTCATTTGTCAGATCACAGAACAGTTTTCAACCTCGTCTCAGCCTGTCTTAATGAATCTTGAGCCAAGAGAAGGCTGTGGCATTTCTGACTCATTTTTCCATCGTTCAAGTTGAGTTTTTCTTTAGTTTTATGTGGTAAAGCTTTTATCTCGTAGCACTGAACTCTGCTCAGTGACAGTTGTTTTCAGAGTTGTTGCTAAACAAATGCAATGA